AGGAAGAGTTAAGGAGATCTAAGGGGTCGCTATTTAGCGGTGATGGTAAAAGCCCCGGGCCTTTTGGTAGCGGGGTTTTCTCTGTGCTGGGTGACTTTGCAGCGAGTGCTGCAATAGTTGCGTCTTTCTCCACGTTGGAGAGTTTTAAAGAATTTATCAGCTGGATGGAATTTTCCAGCTGAACTGAGTACTCACTCACTATTTTCTCCAAGTACACGATCCGTTCCTTTTGGCTCGCGAGTTCCTTGGCGATTTCGGGCGGTATTATGGCCCGAGAGAGCGGGCTGCGCTCCCGCTGGAGGTTGCGTCGATTGACGCGGGAATCTTGGTTTCCAAGATCGAGGGATTGCTGGTCTACTGGCCAGCTTTGTGTCTGGGCTGACATTGAGGGGAGCTGTGCACTTGTGTCACTTGCACTGGCACTTACACTGGCACTTGAACGTTCACTTGCACTGTTAAGCGCTAACATCTCGGAAGATGAGTCCGAATCTTCTAACAGCGCGTCAAAAGAGTTAGTCACACTGACTTGAAATTGTGGGTTATCCACTGAGCTCATTTTTTTGGCTTTGCCCTAGTGAAGGGCCAGTCAGCTGGGCCACCCCCGAGGGCGGCGTGTACGCGGGTGTATAATTTAGCGGAAACAGTCGCGCGGTGCGACTAAGTCGCGTTCACGGAAAGAGAGAAGAGGTAGCCCTGAGAAGGGCCGTTTGAAGAGAACTCAAGTCTGAGTAAGAGCGATGCGTAACGGGCGTGCGCAGAAAGCGTGCGTTCGAGCAAGACTGAATATTTTGAATACGGGATGATATATGAACATAACTTTATTGTATATCTGGATATAACATTATAAATAGCGACGTAGATACCGACACCATAGAGCTTGTCTCTTACGGTGAAATAATTAAAGCTATCAAAAATACAAGACCAAAAAAGGCCCCAGGAGAGGACGGGATCCAAAATATAATATTAAAAAACTTTCCTCGCAAAGCAATCGTGTGTCTAATATATATTTTTAATAGCTGTCTTAAACATTCATATTTTCCGAAAGCGTGGAAAAATGCTAACATATTGGCCTTTCCTAAACCTGGAAAAGAAAAAAATTTTCCCCAAAATTACAGGCCTATTAGCCTCCTGTGCACTCACAGCAAAATCTTTGAAACAATAATACTAAATAGAATTCGTAGCTTTGAAGCAAAAAATAAAAACATAATAAAAGAACAATTTGGATTCAAACACCATCATAGTACAATACAACAACTCGCTAGAATTACAAATGAAATCTCAACAAATTATAATCTAAACAGATCAACTGCCATGCTCCTTTTAGATATCGAAAAAGCTTTTGACACCGTGTGGCATGAAGGTTTGATATTCAAACTTAACAAGGTCGGCATACCATTATATATAATTAAAGTTCTTTATTCGTATCTTAAAAATCGCACTTTTACAGTCTCAGTCAAAAATCATAATTCTAGTTTACAAAACATACATGCTGGAGTCCCACAGGGGTCTATCCTAGGACCAATACTCTTTTTATATTACATTAATAACATACCGAAGCATACAAATACAAGCCTAGCATTATTTGCAGATGATACAGCGATCCTGGCCTCCTCCTGGTCAAAAAAGAAAGCAATTGAATATATACAAAGGCATATAACCATTATGCGTAAATACTTCGAAAAATGGAAAATAAAAATTAACGATAAAAAAACCGAACTAATTATATTCAGCAAACGCAAAGATAAGCCATGCGATAAAAATGCTTACATAGACATGAATGGAACTAAAATCAAACCTACCACGCAAGTGAAATACCTAGGAGTAACACTAGACAAGGGTCTTACATATACAAAACATATCCAAAATATCCGAAAAAAAGGACAAGCAGCATCAGCGCTCTTACACAACCTACTTAATAGGAAAAGCAAAATGTCAATTAAAAATAAGTTATTAATTTACAAAGTGATTATACGACCTGTGCTATTGTACGCCTCACCGGTGTGGAGCAATACTTGTGAAAGCAACTATTATAAACTAGAAATAATCCAAAACAAAATACTAAGGAAAATAATTAATGCCGAACCCAGAACTAGCAATAAAAAAATTAGGAATCAACTCAGAATAAAGACAATCAAAGAAATAGTACTTGATCACACCAATAAATTTTACAAATATCAGTTGCACAAGGCAGACGCCCTCGCAGACTTTAAATTTTATAACAAAGAAAATGCACCATTTAAAATTAAACACAAACTACCCTACCATTTGCTGCGCAGTGACCATCAGGAGCAGCAATACGCTAGTCAGTAAGTTCTCTTGTTACCTAGTTTTAAGCTCTAGTAAGTAAGGCCAAACAAAATTAATGTGTTTTTTACCAAATCCTTTTTCACAAAACCCACAAACCATAATAAGTAACATTCATATATCGTTCATAATTCATAAAATCAAAAACAAAGTATTAACTTAGAGTAAAAGCGCCAACAGCTGAACCTAAAACTAACACAAAAATTACAATACAGCATACTAATCACCAAGTGAAATTATGTATATACTCTGTAATCAAAAGTAATAAATAAAGAGATTTTTAAAAGTAAAAAGTAAAAATCTGCGAACATTGGTCGAGTGTGGACGTATCCCCCCCTAGCGTGGCGAGTGTTCCGGTGTTTCCGAGCGCGAGCGTCGCAAGCGCACCAGGCTTAAATGCCGTTGTGGCAGCATCAATAGTAAATAATAGTGAAAATATCATCTCCATATCGCTCCCCATGAAGGACGAAGCGCATGGAAGCGCGAAAGTACTAACCAGAAGGACATTGAAGAGACACTCAACCAGCAAA